GAGATTATATACTTATCTTGCAGCAGATAAAATGTTTGAAGATAATAAAATTATCCTACCATTACAAATAGATATCCTAATGATTATTTAAATTCATTGGATCCTTCTGAGCCGCCAACTTTTAAGTTAGAGTTGAAAGTAGGTTGTCCTATAATATTGTTAAGAAACATTGCACCGAAAGATGGACTATGTAATGGTACAAGATTGATGGTTACTAGGCGCGACACTTGCATAATTAAAGCTCAAATTTTAATTGGAGAAAAGTTTGGCAATTTTGCATTCATACCAAGGATATCTTTGACACCATCTTCAAAAATGACTTTTCAAATGACAAGACATTAATTTCCAGTCAATTGGCATATGCCGTAACCATTAATAAATCTCAAGGACAATCTGTGAAATTTGTTAAGATTGATTTGCGCATATCAGTGTTTAATCATGGGCAATTATATGTGACATTGTCCAGATGTACATCCTTTGATCGTATAAGTATTCTCTTCCCTAATGATAGTTTGGATTCTGCTACAAATATTGTTTATCCTGAAGTGTTGTTGTAGTGTTCTATGTAGATTAAATCACGTTTTATTAGAAGGTAACCATGTAGATTTATTTCTATTGATTATATAACTTTTTATAACATTTTAATTTAATAATAATTTGAAATATAGACTTTTGTAGGATTGGATCAAAAAATTTATGAAGCTTAAAAGGAGAAATACGACTAGCTTGCTTCGATGGAGATGTAATAAGGTAATTTCAATCTTAAAATATTTTGTGAAGTTTGTTTCCTACAAATGTACTAATTTATATTTTTTTTGTTTTCACAAAGTACTAGATTGTTGTGCATGTTCCTCATTGGGGATATATACAAGTTGATACAAAGACTTTTTGAAAAGTAATGAGGAAGAAGTTTGGACAAACACATGTTTGAAGACATATTATTGACACATTTTTTGTAAAGCATTCATATTTGGAAAGCTTTAACTCACTTTTTGTAAAGTTTTAACCCACTCTTTTGGTGTATGACAATATAATGTTTGTTTTTCTTATGTAGTTATAATTTGATTGGCAGTAGTAGCACTAATTGGTGTACATTTTAATTTTAATTTCTTTTAGATTGCAAAACACTGGTTGATGTGCATTATTTGATATTTAATTTTTTTTTATATTTGATTTGTTTGGAATTGTAGAGTACAAGTTGTTATGTATTATTTGATATCTAATTTTCAATTTAATTTGTTGAGATTGTAGAGCACTTACTTATGTGCCTTATTATATAGATTTAGCAATTTTTTTTTCTTTTTATTAAATTTTTGTTTTTTGTTCAGTGTTTACATTTTTTTTTACTTGCTCTTATATTTTGATTTGCAATATTGGTGAACATTATAAATCTTATATGGTTGTTTCTTAATTTGCATTACGATTAGAGGGAGTTATTATTTTATTTGAGTTTTGTAAAGCGTGTAATACAAGCAAAATTATTATAAGTTCTTTTAGAAGTAAAATATTTCAATATATTTTTTCAGTATCTTTATCAAAAAATGAAACAAATTTCACAAATTTCAACATAATACGTATAAATTATAAAAGTATTTTAATCTTAATATTATTTACATCGTGCCTTTAAGGACGGGCATATGCTAGTACATATACACAATAAAATTTGTTGTATTTACATACATACTGAATTATTTTTTAATCCTACTAATATTACGGCCTATTTTGGGAAGATAGTAAAAAGTGATTTTTTGGATTTTAACCAACTTTTTGACTTTTTTAGACAAATGATTTGAGAAGTTGATAAAAGGTTACTTTTGACTTTTTTGATTAATACTTGTTTATGATGTCAAATCACAATAAAATGACCAAACTACCCTATTGATTTAAAATATTTACAACTTCACTCATGTAACACATTTTGACTCATAAGGGGTAGAATTTTAATTTCACCAGGAGCTAAAAACCAACTTCCCAAATGAAAAAAATACAAAAAAATCAACTTTTAACTTTTACTATAAACCAAAAAAAGTGACTAAAAATTCAATTTTCAAAATAGCCCTACATGTTAATAATAAAATAATTTTTTTTTAAAAAAAAATTCACAATAGTGCCTACTCATTACTCAAGCCCCCATTGCACGGTCGCACAATACCACATGGCGAACCAGTTAAGTCACACGTATACACGTGCAAATCTTGTGCCCACGCTGTAGATCTAATCGAAAACGTCACCGAAACACATTCTTCTTGGGCCAATTTGAAAAACTAGTTAAAAGTAGTTTTTAATTTTTAATTTATTTTGAATTATATTATTTTTCATATTTTTTATATATAAAAAAATAAAAAAATAAAAAAAAATTAACTTTTAGGGTCAACCGGCCGGACGTCCGGCCGATCAACCCGAAAGACAAACAAAACACTTCCCTGTGCTAGCTAAAGCGCTAGCCGCAGTTAACAAACATTTTAGCAACTGACGCTAACAAAGCCCACTAACACACGCACTAACAACTCCATTGCAGCCCCAAACACACACCACTGCTAGTTGAAACTTGGCAACTGACACTAACAAATGTGTTATTATGTCCATTGTGGAGAAAAAAAAATCAACAAATTAATTTAAATTCTAAAATTATAAACAAAAATATTTCAATATATTGATACTATTATTTAAGCAAAAAGACATGCTAATACACGAGTTTCTACAATTGACCACGACGAGATTTCATATTTTGAAATCGTTGCATAATAAGCTCATTATCAACACTATCAAATAGTGGGTTCAAAAGAGTAGGATTTAAAATTATGAATTTAAAGTTGTATTTTAGTGGGTTCAATTACTAATTTTTTTCTTTAAATCTAATATTTATATAATAATAATAAATAAATAAATAATTCAGCCAGGGGTTCGGGTGACACCCTGGCCAAGTCTTGGGGCCGCCCCTAGCTACTGGTGGTGACAATAGTAATTTTTTAATCATGCGTCAAAATAATGAATATTTTTATTTGAAATGAAAAAAATTAGAAAAAGCCAAATCTTGTTACGGTGTTTGGGGTTTATTATTTGGTGGCTTTTTTTTTTTTTTTGACTTATTTTCTTTTTTAGTGATTATAATTTTTTTAAAACAAACTTAGGCTTCTAGATTTTTTAAATTCTACTTCACAAGATGAATTGAAAATTTATTTATTTTTATAACAAAAAAAAAATTAGAAAAAAAAAAGTCTAAAAAGACAAATAAGTCAAAATAGTTGACTTTTTATATATTTATTTTGACTTTAGGTTGATTATATGCTAAATTTGTGTGGATTGAATTATGTGCCATTTAAAATTTTCAACTCATCTAAATAGCAGACCCAATAATATATGAAACATCTCAACCATGAAGAAATGTTTTATTTTTGGACTTTCATCCCATGTTTGGATGTTATGCCATTGTCAAAGTTTTCGAAAAACATATATATGGATAAACATTTATTTTATAACTTCACAAATATATTATAAAGCATATGATTTTAATGTATTAGAATTTACAATCCGTCTATCTTGTTGGTTGAAGGTCATCAAAATATTCCGGGGCACTTTAGGAAGCTGGTTAAAAGTCAACTTTTGATTTTTAACTCATTTAGGTCATATCATCTCTTATATTTTTTACCAACAAAAAGACAAAAAAGTCAAAAAAAAAATCAAAAAATTAATTTTTAACCAACTTTCCAATACACCCCTCAAACTAGTTAAAAATATTCAAATTTGTTGGTCGATTTTGAAATTCTGTATTTCTTAAGATTATCTTTAGCATTTTAGAATATTGTTCATTGTATTTCATGTTTGTTCTTTATTGCACCAATAAATTTATCCTTTATGATTTACGAGAATAAAATCTTGTGGATGGATGCTTATGGCCAAAAAAAGAAACCCAATTTATTACACAATTCTAATCTCTGAGTAATGCAACTATCTAATTTTTTTTTTTATCACAAAGTCAATTTTTTTATTAAGGGTAAACTATCAATAAGTCCTAATAGTTGTACTTAATTTCCATCAAGTCCTATTAAAAATAAGTCTTGATAAAATTATTGTTAAAAATAATTTTTTATGATAATTTTTTATATATGTCGCTAAAAATTGATAATTAGTGACTTTTTTTGGTCATGATTTTTATAAATTGTCATTAAAACTTACAATTAGTGACTTTTTTAGACAAATTTTTTTCATAAGTCTTATTAGACAATAAATTCACTTATTATGACCTACACATAAGTACTCTTTTTATTAATCAATAATGGCAAGGCATAATATAAATTTTATAAGACCATCTTTCATCCTTCAACTTTAATTTTATCAAATTTAAATTTGATAAAAAAAAAAAAAGTGGTAAAAAATTATCTCCAATCCCTTCATCAAATGTTCATCATATTCCTGGATAGTCATTTTTTTTCATCAAATTGGGAATTTATCAAATTTGAATTTGATAAGAATTTAAAAAATGAAACATTGGAAATGTTGTCTTTTTTTCATCAAATTTAATGAAAAGTGGAATTTGAAATACAAGAGAATTTTTAAAAAGATTTTGACGAAAGAATTGAAATAATTCAAATCAAATCAAATTTTTTTACTTAAAGTTAAAATTAATTTAAATAAAAAATTAGATACTCTAATTAATAATATTTACTTGGTGACTAAGGTCAAGTTTGGCATGCTTAAAAAAAGATAAAAAGTCAAAAAGTCACTATTCTATTTAAGTCACATCATCTTATTTAAATCATATCACCTCTCTAACACATCACTTCAAACCCAACCCAAACTCAACCCATATTTCATAAAAAATTAAAAAATAAACTTATTTAGATCATCTCAAACAACCTCTAAATATATAGTACAAGAAGAATAAACTCTTGTTGCCCGTCGGATATGCCATGCCTCACTACCCCCCACTGGGATACTCTGCCGCATATCCCCATTCCTAAATTTTATTTTTTTAAAACACCAAAACCCAAAACAATTTTTCATAAACTTATCAAACTATTTTGTGGAATATTCCTTGGTAAATTCCTTGGAATTATACTTCTTTTTTTAAAAAAAAAAAAGCACACCCAATCCCAACTCCTTTTATAAGCTCCTGAAATATTCTTCCCCTTCTTGCATAACCATGCTGAAAGCTGAATGACCTGTTTTGAAAGCACACTTATCTTCTTAAGCTACTTTTGGGAAAAACACTTTTAACCTGAAAATGGCTGCTTTTGCGAGAGCGAAGCGAGTCACGGACCCGCTTAACGATAAAGTCAAGGCTCGAATCGTCGGTAACTTCCGGTTTGAACCGGTTTACGTTAGCAGCGGAAGCGAACACGGCGGCGAGAACTCCGGCTACGACGACTCCCCGTGTCTCTCCGATCTCGTCCACGGCTTTCTCGAGGACGACGCCGGAGTAGCTGAGTCGCCGGAGTATGATTCCGATTCGGAGCGCGATATATCAATGTCTGATCCGACGGACGTGATTGAGGACCTGGTAAATCCGGCGGTCATGATCAATATAGATTCGTTCAGGAATGCACTGTTAGCTCATGTATCGAATGCTATGGCGGTGTTCTCGTGTGCGAGATCGAACAAACCTGTTTTTAGCCGGAACGTGATGGCTTTTCTCAGAAATTTAGGATACAATGCGGCAATTTGCAAGACGAAGTGGGAGAGCTCCGGCGGACTCACCTCCGGTAACTACGAGTTCATCGATGTGGTTCGGTTAGAGTCCGGTACGTCGCAATCGCACCGGTACTTCGTGGATCTCGATTTCGCCGGAGAGTTCGTGATCGCGAGGCCTACTCGGCACTACGAGCTTCTATTACAGACCTTGCCTGAGGTTTTCGTAGGGAGGATTGAGGATTTGAAGCAGATCGTGAAGGCCATGAGCGACGCAGCGAAGCGGTCTCTGAAAAGCAGAGGTCTAAGCCTCCCTCCGTGGAGAAAAAACCGTTACATGCAGAACAAGTGGTTCGGTTCACACCGCCGGACGGTGAATGTGATTCCGGCGAACTCGCAGTCACTTCCGCCGCCGACGAACCCTAGTTTCGCCGTCAAGTGTCGTTCCGTAGGATTTGACGCCGTTAACGGCAGTTTGTTCGTCCCCGCGACTACTCGCACAAGATAACACCGTATTTATTTTAATCCAATTAAATAAATAAATAAAGTATTTAAAACCCGTCGTTTTGTTGTACATATTTGTTGACTGTACGCGGCGAACCCACATCGTCTACGTGGCTGCCCAATATGTCAGGTTTATCATGGTTAGACAGGTCATCACTATGAACGGCTGGATGGTTGGAGAGGCGTTAATCACTAAATCTAATGCCTTTCGATATGTGGACCCCAATGCTTTTGCTATGCGGGCCCAGTGTTCACACAAAAAATTTGTTTGATGTGACGTATGATTGGATGTTTCTGACAAGAGAACTTGGGACAGGTGGTGCCTATCCATGGTCGTGAGTGTACCATATTATTTCTGAGAGCATTTGAAGAGGAGGGTGATAATGTTTGTGGGGTCGTACGTGTTTGGATAACGTTTTTTAGTATACGGGATAAGGCTTAATTACCTTTGGTCACTGTTGTCCTTTGTTGGGGCTAAGTCTTGAAGTGGTTGAAGTAGTGTATGACTGTGTTTGTTTAGGAGATTGTGCATTTGATTAGATTATGTATATCATGTTTGTTTCGATCCATGATTGTGGAGTGAATTATCAAATTTTGTTAATTTGTGAGAAGAAAAATCAGTCACAATGGTTCAAATGATAATAATAGAACACCTTCATCGCCACTCTCCTTCACTCTCTATTCTTGCAACGAAGGACAAAAAATTCACACTGATGGGGTGGTAGCATGGGGATTCTTCAATGTTAAAGATGGTAAATTTCTAAGTATAAAATTCTTAAAATAACTGTATAAAGACTTAATATTGTGCAGTTTTTCTTCAAAATTTAATGATTTACTTATATTATATCATCTATATGTTTATAATTTTTAGTAACTATTTACACACCTCACTCCACTCTAGGAAAGATTGTGTCCCTAGTCTAGTGGTTTTTTTAGAAGCGAGGAGCATAATTAGTCTCATATTTTGTAGACTCGTTTCGTAATGGATTCATTTTTCACTCAGTCATAACCGTTCAAATTAAATATCTAACCAAATATTTTATTATATGCATTAGTCAACCTTTAGGCCATGTGTCCTATTTGCCGCTCAACCAAATAGTGTCATTGTACAAAATTACCTCCCACAATTTTGTGATTCAGCCAACTAATACCAACTTGGCTTTAATTTTTTATTTTGTATCCCATCCTTTCTCTTGAGATTTAATGCTCCCTCATATGGAATAATATGTTTGCCTAAATTATAAATCTAAATTATTAATTTTTTAGACAAATATTAAATTATGTATTTTGTTAAATTATTAATTCTATCTCAAAGTTATGTCCTCTTAAACAAACCAATTACTTAAGCCCGAAGTTAAGAGTCATAATGGTAATTAGAAAATGCTATGCTTGTTCTGTGGTGTTATATTCATATCTAGTTCGTCAGTGGAGAGCAAAAAATTAAAAAGATCACCGGATGATTGATTAGTAATGATGATTAAAAAGATTAAAGAAGATTAATAGCAAGATCAAAAGAAGAAGATAATGATGATGAATGTTTAATATTTTTATCTTATTACTTTAATTATTTTTATCTTTATGTTGTTGTGCCTGGTCATAGCATAACATAGGTGCTCCTGCAGGCATATTCTGATGCTTTCCATATTTTTTTGAACTATCATCATTTTCAGTTGTTCACTTCTTAAGGTTTCGTTTAGGATTTGGATTAACTTTTTAGTTTCTTGATTTTTTGATTTTTTAAATTTGGGGTTAAAAAGTATGAGTTGGATTTTTTTTTTTTAACTTTTGTAAGAAAAAAAAATAATTATAATTTAAGTGTAATATTTTATTTTATTAACTTTTTAACTTATTTTATCTTTTTATAACTATTTTAATTCCTAACCTCATTTTAGTCCATTCCAAACGGAGGCTAAATCGACTTTCACCAAACTCCCAAGTCTCCCATTATTATTGCCATGGGGGCACTCCTGGTCGTCTTCAATAAATATATATATTCACAATAATATATATGTGTTAAAAAACAAGAACACACCTTTCATGACAATTAAATTGTTAAATTATTATTATTATTTTACAACATGTTACAAAAATTTAGTGATTCTAATATTACTCATTAAGATTATACATATTGTTAGAAAAATAGTACAAAACTAAATGGAAAATATAATTTAAAATTATGCAAACGTTTTTTGGGCAAAACCAAAAACTGAAATAAATCAACATAATAACGTGATTAAACTTACAGTACATAAACAGATAAAACCTGATCGAGTCGAGTGTGTGACACTAACAATCTTAAGACAGATTCGTCCTCCCACCGGTGCTTAGGATTCAATGGACGTCTATCTCCCAGGATACAACGATCAATGTCTTGCACTAGCAGCACTACTATTGCAAGCCTAGCGAACTTTGCTGTGCATGAACTCTCTTTATAGAAAAATTAGACTCAGGAAAAATGAAGAAAAAATGCAAAGTGAAGAAGAATAGCAATTCCCCATTTAAAATGAAGTGAGGGACATGGAATATAAAGACTTCTAAGTGACTCTTCAAAAAGGTTGTGATCCTTCAAAAGGACACACCCTTTCATTTCAAGAGACACAACCATTGAAGTAAATTAAATTCAAATTTTCCAACTATCCCCCACATGAATGAAATTTACGGAAAGGACATGCAACAACATGCAGACAAAGAGAGAGTTCATTATGGAAATATACTGCATCGGGATAGGTAGCTTTCAGCTTTGAACCTTCCCTAGTGAAAGCCTATCGGACTTACTAGCTAATCAGTGGACATGATGCCTTGAACTAAGTTCAAAGGGACAACTAAGTTATGTATGGCTCACCAGAAATCACCAAGGGATTAAAAAATTCCTACCCATTCCTATGGTGAGAGTGATATCTGCAACAAATGTTGTCTGCAGGGGTATAAGGATAAGCTTTGCTTTTAATGATTACTTATATCTTGATTAAGACATAAAATTGTTGGAAATGGTTATAAAATTTTGGATAAAACCAGAATTTTTTCCTAAGTTCGGTCTAATTTTTAGGTGGGCCCCGAGTGTCGATTTACTCGGGTCAAAGTGGTAACGCATTCTATGCCGCGTTGTGATTCACGTGGTATATTTGGTTGCTCAAAACCATTACCGAGTGAATGGGAAATTGAAGCCAAAGTGTGCTCCATGGAAATGGAGTTTTTGTGGAAATTCCTTAAGGTTGTAAATTGGCTTGTCCCACATTGATTTGGTGGGAAGTTTTGAAAGGGTTTATAAGGCTTAGGGTGAGATACTTGGGGTGTGCCCCAAGGGGTACCCAAGTGTTTTAGAGGGAGAGGTTATGGGCAAAATGGGCTAGACCCATTGGACCCAAAAATCACCACACGCGCGCCGCCGTCCGTCCGGTCGGGCGGGCTGGGCGCGGGTGCATGGTGCGTGGTTGGATTGGGCTTCTAATCTTTTTGGGCCAAAAATATTTGAATTTAATTTTATTTTTTATTAAAATAAAATCCAGAATTCAAATTAAATTGATTTGGATTTTTTGTTCATCCAAACAGGGCCCTTCCCGTTTTCAAACAGAATTAAACGGATTTGGATTTATTGCTCATCCAAACAGAGCCCTTCCCGTTTTGCTATCTGTTTGAATTCAAAACCAACAGGTTTCATACCTGTTCAATTCAAAACCAAGAGCCACATACCTGTTCAATTCAAAATCAAGAGCCACATTCACATCTATAAATAGGACCACCTTCATTTGATGTTTTCCATTCAGAAATTTCGTATTTCACTTCTGCTATTTATATTCTTCATCTTGCTGCATTTTATTTCCGAAAGAAAGAGTGTAAACACTTAGTGTGTTCGTAAGGCAAACAATTAGTAGTGCTGCTATTGTTTGTGGTAGATCATTTCATCCTGGGAGATAGACGTCCGAATTTCTGAAAGCACCGTGGAGAGGACGAATCTGTCTTAAGGACACAGTGTTAAACACTGGACTTGATCAGAAAAGTTATTCAAATAAATTAACCAAGTAAGTTGTTTAATTTTATTCTGTTTTTATTTGTTTATTCAATCAGATTTTAATTTTGTTTTTGTAACAAAATAAAATCTGTGGTTTTATTTATTTATTATTATTTCGAGTTTGATTTTTGTAATCAAACAAATTCTCTCCTTTTATTTATTTCTTTTATTCTTGTTGTTGTTTTGTACACAACAGAATTTAATCTATTTAAATACAGTGAAGATTGTCCAACACATATATGATATATGTGCATCGGTCAGTATATAATAATATTTGCACTTCATTTTTTAGCTTCTTATATTTTTTTTAATAAAAAAAATGTTTTCAATTTCTTACAAGACAAAAATTATCTAATAGGTTTAACTTATAACACGCATAATGTTAGTCATTCCAATATATTAATGTTAAAAACAACACATAAATAGTCTAAATCATCCAGTAATTGGAGAATAAATGGTTAATTCAGTCCTATGTTTTAGACAGGCAAAAAAAATGGTCATCTCTCCCTACTATTTAGGTGGACACATGACTATGCTGGACCAGATCTATCAAATAAATTTTAAAAATACTTATAATTAAAAATAAAGTGTGAATGTTATTACACATCTTGTAATGAATACATATAATTTATAGATGGAAGAAGTTTCAGTCCGATCCAATTTTGCGTAGAATTCTTTAAGATAAACCAATTTTGCGTAGAATTCTTATCTTAAAGAATTCTACGCAAAATTGGATCGGACTGAACCTTCTTCCATCTATAAATTAGTATTATTATTTTTATTATTATTATTATTATGTGTGCAGTAATTTATTATTATTTTTCCTGTGTCTAGTAATTTATTAAAAAAAAAATTGAGTTCATATATTTTGAAAATTCTACAATACACACTCCATACCATATGCATCCTTAGTTATGCAATTTTTTTCTTTAGTTATGACCAATTTTTTTTTTAGTGATGTTTGGTTATGCTTTATTTAGTGTTTGGTTATGACTTTTTTTTTTTGTTTAATTATAATGAAAATATGAAATTATATCATTTTATTCTTTAATTACAAAATATATATGACACACACTTTTTGAGAAAAGTGTGTACCACAATCTTTTCCTATTTTGAGAGATGTTTGTAATTGTATTATTTCATTATAGTTGTTTTTATTTAAAGAAATAAATGTTATATTTTTAAAAATTATACTTAACGCCTATTTTATAAAAGTAAATATAGCATATTAATATGAATGTAATTACACTATCAATTTGATTTTTTTAATTACTAATCCACACACGCAGATATAAAAGATAAACGGTCTTTGATCATTATAGTGAGCCCACTAATTGGATTGATGTGTATATGTGTTTATTTTTTCTTTCTTATGTACTGCCAATAGAAGAATTTGTTGAGAGGAAGTACAATAATTAGAGGCTGTTCAAAATATATATATAATTAGAAAGGGTGAGAGATGATCTAATTAATTATATTTTTAATTTTTTTATAAAAAAATAAATAAATAATAAAAAAAAGATAAAAAGATAAAAATAAAAAATAAAAAAATACTAACATAAGTGATGTCAAATAGTGCCAAGCATTATAACTACAATTAGC